AATTTTAATAGCGAAGCTCCATTTAGTCTAACTTTGTCCTGCGTAAGGCGTAACCGAGAGAAGAAGGGACAAGAAAAAAAAGGAAGGCAGTATCTCCCGAACAGTCTAACAGACGGCGCTGTCTCATGGAGTTACATACAGACTGCAGTTGCGTGAGGAAGGAGTGCCTCTCTCAGTCTTCTGGATCATCGCCGTACGTGGCGGATCGTTGGTGCGGCATGGACGGCGGCTCGTGCTCGTCGCCTCGTTAGTGGGACATGGACGAAGCGAAGTAGAGGAGACAGACGGACGTATGAATGCAAGGACGTATGGACGGGCACATGGACAGATGGATGGATGCACGCACGGACCGAGAGACACACAAACACTCAGACAGACAGACGCACGGACAGGAATACAGACAGACAGACAGACAGACAGACAGACAGACAGACAGACAGACAGACAGACAGACAGACAGACAGACAGACAGACAGACAGACAGACAGACAGACAGACAGACGGATGGATGAATGGATGGATGGATGGATGGATGGACGCTTTGCCCCACTCATCATCATTCACTCCGTGGATATGCGGTGACTTTTTTTAATCAGCACCCTTTAAATCGAGCATCCGAGCTTGACTATTTAGGAACGAAGCTCCTAATGCACTCACAATGACCGTCGTCGTCGTAGGTCCCCGGTGTGCACACAGGTGTTGTGCAAATAAATATAGACAGTATACAGGCAAGCTGGTGACATCATAAATATGGAAAAGAGCCAGTATTCGCACGATGTTGTCTACCGAGTTTGTCCGATATACATCTAAGTTGTACAACAACCAAGAGACCATGGTCCAGGACAGGTGCACTGACGCAGTGTTCGCAACCTCTCAAATGGACAGGATCAAAACACCACTGTCATTTCCATTCTGTGTCATAAAGCAGTACTGTTCAAAGCCAAACGCAAACCCCGATTTTCTCCATCTAAAGACACACTTTTCAACTCGTAAACATTTTCGTAGCCATTTAATAAAACATTTGGTAATGTCCAAGGAGCGCCGTTCCCTCATCAGTATTCGCTTTGTGGGTCCACCGCCATCTTCTTTTTGAAGTGTTTATTGCCCATGCAGACGAACTCTTGTGAAGTACATGTATACAACTTTGCCTCAAAGAATAACTTGCTCGTCATAAGGAATGTGCACAGTGCCTTCTTTGCAGATCACTATGAGAGGAATGTGTGCCCACGCTCGAATGACAAGGCCTAACTGTGTGTCCTGAGAAAAGTTTCCTTCCTGCTCCTAGGTGGTGAGCTCACTTCATACCTTTAATGCTTGTCTCATCACACTGCTATTCAGGTAAACCCCCAGCACAGGGCAAATCAAACGATGACTAAGGGGTGTTCTTTTATTCACTTGGTAAAGTTGATGAGAATAAGCGATTAATAAAAAATCACGAGCCCGTGGGCAAGTCTCGCGATGTCGGACTACTTGTTTAAAAAACATATATAATGTTATATTAGAATGTCATTTCACAATACTTTGCGGATGTGGGCTAATTAGAAAGACTATCATGTGGCCGCGATTTTAAAGAGAAATCGTGTTTATTGATATGTATCATACATATTGGCTTTTAACGCCATTATTCCGTGCGCGTCGGGACTGTTTTTGCTTCACTACCAAATGTTGGGTTAGGCAGGCATGAATGAAATAATTAATGAATGACTGGATTTGTTTAGGGGCGAAGCTTTTTATAGCTGCATTGGTTCGTCCCTCGTAGCCGTTGTAGTAGTGTGTAACAAGTATAACATTTTGACCTCCAAGGTGGTGCTGGTGAGAGATTTCTTCTGTGCGTTGTTGAACAATAAAAGATAGTCCTCAATGTACATATCAATGGCTGCATAGGGGAAATGAGAGACAGGAGCATCCGGCTTTTAGTTAACGCGCACGCTGCGATCCCCATTAGCAGCCATTGGCATGCACATTGAGCACTATCTGACAAGAAAGGGTTGATCCGTTATACTCGCTGGGTGTAACCTCCTTGGTTTTAGAAAGGTTTAGCTAGCGTTGGGCCGCAGTGCCATGAATACAGTGAAGTAGTATATGCCATGAACTCGAGGTGGTTAAAGGTGGGAAGTAGACCCGAAGCACAAGCCGTAAGAAAGTGTACGTGTGCCAACTCTCATTTAGTCCTTGGAATGTCCGCTGGATTGTGGTGCTTCTATATGGGGAATATTTGGTGAAAAGATGCGAGATGGTTGTACTTGGAGTGTTGAATAGATGGACGAACGGACACACAGGCAGATGCGTAGATGGACGCATGAACGGACGCAGGGGCGGATGCATGGACGAACGCAGGGACGGACGCACGAACAGACGCATGGATGAAAGGAAGCAAGAACGAATGAACGGACGAATGCTTCGCCCCACTCTCCATCATTCACTCCATAGATATCCTGCCTTTTTTTAATTATTATTGCGATAGCAATTATATCGACACTCTCGGCTGAATTTTGCTGCCGGCGTTGACGGCGGCATCACGGTTATTCACCGTATATGTATACGTATCTATATATATATATATATGAAAATGCAAGAAAGAAAAAAAAAACCTGAAAAAGACTCCAGCACGAAATCGAACGTGGGTCCTCTGCGTCGTGAAAGCGAGGCTTCAACCACTGATCCACCCCCGAGCACGTCGTTTATGGTTCAAACGGCAAGGTATTGATATTTACCACTTACCGCTGCTCACGGGTATCTCATGTGGAATTGTGTTTTCAGCATTACCCGCAAGATTGCGCAATAAGCACACGTCGCCTAAGGTCCCTATAGATCAAACAAGTTTCCAAGGTAGCGTCACTCATTGTTCTCGGCGTGTCATCATTTCGCTTAACCCTCCTTTTTTTCGACATCCGCGTCTGAAATTGGTGCATTTCTTGCACGTGATCTTGCAAATGGCTGGTGGTGTTATTTATTATTATGCAAAAGGTTCAAAACGAGTACGCGTGCGCATATGGCTGCATCCGGATTCTCGCCGTGACCAAAGACGAAATCGTAGCCAGGACATAAACTGAAGAGGAGGAGCGTTTCAGTTGGCGCCAAGTCGGTCAAGATTGTTTCGCCAAGCTTGTCGTTCGATTCAACATCCGAGTTTTTCAACAATGCTGGTTTGGAGTAAACCAACAGAAAACGTTTTCGCTCTCTTCAACTTACCTCGTGTAATCCGAAATGAAGCATGCCTTGAAGTGCACGGCTATGAAACATTTTACGTGAATGATACCGTGCAACTCTGTCGACGCACGTCGACGCGGATCTGCAAAGCGAGTTTATTTGTCGATTTTTATTGAAACGCCAGGAGCGCGTATAATGCACGTCTAGCGCATGCCGGTTGTTACAAATATTTGTGCGTATGCACGTATACAAAGCTGCTGGAGCGTGTAATCAACGCACCATCAGGAACATGTCGTTTGACAAGTTAACCATCGCGACAAAAGGGAGCCAAAACGCGCTGCTTCGGGACACCTCACCAGTAGAACTCTCACTTTTCAGGAAGACCCGCACACCGCACCAAAATCACCTGGCATAACGATTGTCAAAAAGGCACATTAAAAAGTAATCGCAGTGCTGCTAATTAAGCGTTCGTACCAGTCTGGCCGTGGTTTTTCCTTGAGTGTGCACAAGCCGGCAGTAATCACTCGTCACAACGTCACGCCCTGTGGCCAGCAAGAAGCGCGTTCACTGTGTCACAGTTGAACAAAACACAGTCGGAGAACTGGATTCGTTATAACTGGACTAACTACGATGTACGCGTGAGAGAGACCACCAGACATCTACCACCTTTGGCAAGGACGCCATGACTAGTGATGCAAAATCAACGTCTACTAAAAAATTATGCCTGGACACGGGAGCCGCGAACGCGCTGCCCTACCCCTCTAATTTTCCCTCCTCCTTCGGTACGAAGGTGAGCGTCTCCGACGGCCGCCCCTTGCGAACACAGCAATGCTCTTACAGGCTGTGTGTTCCAATACTTACCGTAAACGGCTAACTAAACAGCTAAATGGACGGCGGCCATCTTAAGTCCCTATTCGGATTCTCACGTAGCCGGCAAAATAGACGCATCCCGAGAAGACCGCATCGTAGGACAAATACGATGCAGTCTACCTTGCTGTCTAAACAAGATGGCGGCTCATTGAATCGCTCAGATAGATCGAAAGTCACCGGAATGGTCGTCTGCACACAAGTTGACGCTTTCTCAGACGCTAAATGTGAGTAACGTTTATTTGTTTTTATTTCAACACGAAATAAGCCAGAAAATACAACTGTTACGTTTGTTTATTTGAGCTTTTTCTTCTCGACGCGAGGTGGCGCATTGTCGCGTAAAAGCAGTCTAAATGTGCTCTATTTCTCGGACACGTTTCCATGGGCTCGAAGCTGTCTTCTAAGCAGTCTTCGTAGACTGTCTACGTGCTGTCTAAGAATTGAAACACAGCCACAGTTGCCCCCGAGCAGCCGTGATTTCACGTGACAGAGTGGTACGGTTATGCCACGTGACTGAGTGGTACGGAGGTGAGCGGTCTCATGCGGCGGCCGGTCGCAACACAAGGCATGAGGCATGGCCTCCGAGATTGCGTGCTGGCGGAATTCTCCCAGTTGAAAAGAGAGCGACGTTCCAGGTATAGTTTTTCTAGGAGGCCTTGGTAAAATATAGAACTGCACAACGTTGCTAGTTCAGAAATGCATATCCCGCTTGCTCTTGTGTTTGTACCGTTTATTCTACGAATCATTTTGTTCCATTTTGTTTCATTTACATCTATTCCACGTAGCAACTGAACCCCAACATTCGCTTTTTGATGAAAGTTCTGAACTTTGTAGGGTGTGCTCCAGAACATAGACGAGTAGGGAAGGGAAAGGTGTCGTGACCTTGGAAACTTGTTTCATCTAGGGACCTAAACGTCGCTTGGCAGCGCCTGCTCTAATTTACTACGCGTACTTTTCCCGGGTTAGAGAAAGGAGCGACGCCCTCACGCGTCCTTATCTGGTGTGGCGATGAGGGGAGGATCGTACGTTGACTGCCCTCGGGCTTTCCCTAGAACGATTTGCTGTAGTTACTGGGAACACAAAGGTCACTGCAATCATTTCAGTCTCCGTTGGCGAAAGCGCGCGCTTTTCAGACACAGCGAAGTAACAAATGAGACGCTTATTCGCGTGCATCAGCACCTGTGAGTACGTTTTGTGTGTCATTTGTGCGTGAGAAACGGGGGGAACGTTTCGATCTGCTTTCCACTCTGCGCGTGACCTTTCAATTTGTTGCTATCGCGTTCATTGCTTCACCTTTGCGTCGAAGCTGTGACTTTTTTTATTTGTTTTAAAATTTATTGAGAATATAGCATTCATATTTGTTGTGGTGGGAAATCACGTAAAAAGGTGGCAGATTTCGTAATCTACTTCCGAAAAAATATATCGCTTTCTTCGTTTCAGGGTGGCTTCAAATAATTCTAGATTGGAAACATCCGCGACTTATTAGCTGCAGAGCTAAAGCCAGTATTTGCCTTTACATTTTTTCATTTCATTTCATTTATTTATACTGTTAGCCCAGAAGTGGGCCGTTACAGGGTGGAAGTACAAACAATTATTCGCGAAAAAGAAGTACCGTACAGGTATCGAGATAATTTCTCGGTATTATTGTGAGCAGCAACTCGAAGTTATACATAACAAGAAATGGAACACACATGCAATGCAATACATACGCGCAGAACAGCACATGACGCATTTGAGGCGGCACTTTTGCACCGCGCTGAAGATTTGAAACACAACTACTGCAGTCTCATGCAACCAACAAAAAGTACAGACGCACATCACCGTTATTCAGGAAATAAACGTTTGAGATTCTGTTCAAATAATGTAAGCGAGGAACAACCAATTATAGACTCTGGCAGCATATTCCAATCTTCAATAGCACGTGGAAAGTAACTAAACTTAAAGCAATCATTACGTGGGACTAGGGGTGGTATGTACATATTATGGCGATGTCTGTAGTGTTCTTGTGTGTTGACCTGGAAGTAATCTGAATAGTTTAGTTTAAAATGATTATGAATTAACTGGTAGAGGAATTTCAGACGCTCAATCCTCGTCCTAAGTTCAGGACTATCCAGTCCAGCTTTTTTACAAAGTTCAGTAGGTGAATGATGTCGGCGATATTTATTAAAAATAAATCTCGCACCAAGTCGCTGTATTTTTGCTATTTTATTGCAGTTTGTCTTTGTGTAAGGGTCCCAGACAATTTTAGAACATTCGATAATAGGTCTGACAAGGGTTTTGTAAGCAAGACACTTTATATCAGATGGGGCGGTATAAAGGTTACGTCTAAGGCTATACAGTGCCTTGGTAGCCCTGGAGCATACATTATCAATATGATTGTTCCACCGGAGGTCGGGCGTGAACCATAACCCAAGATATTTATAGTTTTGTACACGCTTAAGGAAAGCATTGCCAATCTGGTAGTTGTAATCTAGAGGTGCTTTCTTTCTAGTTATAGTCATAAAGACTGTTTTTTCTGTGTTCAAACTCATTTGCCATTCTTCGCACCAATCCTTTATTCTTTGAAGATTGTTGTTAGATCAACTTGGTCATGTTCAGTCTCGATTCTGCTATAAATAAACACAGTCATCGGCAAACAAACCTTATCGGGACCGTAACCCGGTTTGGTAGGTCATTTATATAACAAAAATAAAAGGGGACCCAGCACGCTCCCCTGGGGAACTCCGGAATTAACTGCAACTGCTCTAGACTGTTTATTTTTTATTTGAACAAACTGCTGACGGCAGCTGAGATAGGATGAAAACCATTTTGTCAAGTGATTATTTTGAAACGTTTTGTCAATTTAAATAGGAGCTTTGAGTGCGACACTTTATCAAATGCCTTTTGCGACATCCAAATATACCACATCAGTTTGCCCACGCAAATTGATTGTTTTTGAAAGATCATGAACAAATCGATTAACTGAGTTGTTGTAGATAAGCCTCGGCGGACGCCATGCTGCTTCGAAGATAATAGATTGTGCGTATCAAGATAGGACATCAGGTGTTTGTTAACAATGTGTTCGAGTATCTTGAAACATGTATGATAAGCGAAATAGGACGGTAGTTGCGCTCGTCCCGTGAGGAGCGACTTTTGTGAACAGGGGTAATTTTTAGCCCGCTTCCACGCTATTGGAAGAGCCACCTGCGCAGGGACGACTGAAATATTTTTTGTAAGGAAGCGAGCGCCCCATTCAGCGTATCTGTACAGAAAACTCGTTTGGTATACCATCAGGGCCAGGGGTTTTTCTCTGTATTTATATCAAGTAAAAGATTTAGGACCCCTCTTCGCTAATTACCACATCATCGATCGGCCGCTGCAATGATGACGTAGAAAACTCGGGCAAAATGCCATTATCATGATAAAACAGAAGCAAAAAAAGAATTGAAATCATTCAACACGCTGTTGAGTATTCAGGTGGCCTCGGGGAGCTTGCTGGGGGAGTTATTAAAAGCGCCAAAACCTTGAGGGGGCTTCCTTAAGTATTTCGTCAATGTCACATTGAAAAACCGATCACTGGATGCTTGATCAGACGTTTTCAGTTCTTGTCTCATTGAAGAATGCAAGCTGTTCCTTCAGGGGTACACTTTTTCGCACAGATTTTTGTTCCGTTTTAGTTTTCTTTTTGTGTGAATGATTTCTCTGGTAACCAGGGATTGGTTTTACAAATGCGTTTCTAATCCTGGGTACATAGCTGTCTATGCACCTTCCCACAACAATTGAAAAGAAATGCCATAGCCTATCAGTGCTGCAGTCAGTGTTGTAAAGGACCTGAAATTCATCAAAGGACCTTTCAAGATAGTCCAAATAGGACATCATCAGCCCGCCATATAAACTTCAATACAGTGCTAAGTGTGGGTTTACCCAAGGTGTCTGGGGACAATGCTAGGTGCGTTCCTACCATTCTGTGGTCGGACAGGCCTTCTACAACTTCACAACGGCTGAGTAACGGCAACAGCTTTGGAGACACAAAAACCAAATCAAGGATAGATGACCTTGTAGTCCCTATCGAGTTAAATTCAGTGACACTTTGCGTGTAGCCCGTATCAGAACGCCAACTCCAGTGGTTTGCTCAGCACTTGCAACCTGTTCCAATCCAGGAGACTGGGATAGCCAATAATATCCGGAAGATTGAAGTCCCCTAATAATAATACGTTATCTTGGAGGCTAAAATTAGAATCCATAAAATTTCTCAGCTTTGCGATACATCCAGAGAGGAATTCGGCGGCTCTATAAATCCCTCCAATATACACAGTTCGCTCGCTGAAACCCACACCTAATCCACAAAATTTCTATGCACAATTATCATCCAACACTGAAACCTAATGTTGTCTTTAATAAGAAACGCCACACCACCACCTCTTCCTTGCGGTCTTTTCTAATAATTATGTAACCTGTAGGTGTTACTTAGAAATCTGCTACATCCGTATGTAACCAAGTCTCTGTACGACCATTATATCCGGTTCATGCTCCAGGATGCGGCTTCAACTGCATCAGCTTTATTCAGCAAACTTCTGGCGTTTACATCAATAACCTTAACAGATGCTGTTGGTCTCGATTTGCGTCAGTCAGAGCTGGTGAGACCTGGGCTAGCATACCTGAATCGCTCATTGGTAGCCTCATTCAGCCATAGAGAACGTTGTTTACTTTCAGTTTATCGATGATTAGTTTAACCTTTGCTCCATTTGCTCTTTCATCCGCTGATGAAATCCATAGTTGTTTTTTCAAGTACGTAGGATTCTCCCGTGATGAGGCTTGCGAGATATCCCGATTAGACAGCAAGTGTTATAGCTCTACAAGGATAGCTCAACTAAAACATTGCTGTAATGCGCCCATGTTAATGCCAGGGAGGTGATGTGTCATAACGCTATCCTATGGTGCGCTTTACGGAAAACCATAACACAAAGGTGTATGTTGAGCAGTGTCAGTCTGAAACAACTGGCAGGCTCAAACAAGTACGATAAGGGAGAGGAAAACTGCATTTTCTTCGCAGTTATAAAACATACCATAAACACCTATAGTGGCAGCGTCTTTTCCTCTCCTCAACCTTTTTTTTTTCTGCAGTATAGATCACGGAAGTCAAGTTTCGCATTCAAGGCTTCGCTTCCTCTCAATCATTTCAGAAGCTTTGTTCTCCCAATAAGTTTTTCATTCATAACTTCCCTGGTAGACTTAATGTGTTGTAACTATTCGTGCATATGAAATGGGTTTATTAACTAAGTCTGGTAGCACTTAGACAGCCGGTGCAGCAAGAAACGGTCAAATAGACCGGGCGTCTACAGCTCACTTTGTTCACCCCAAAAGCTGAAACGTTCTGTAGTACTTTTTAGAATTTTTAGTTTTGATGTTGTCGACGTTGTTTTATATCGCCATTTATCGTAATGCTATGCTGATCGTGCTTCTCAAGCATATTTGTGACAACAGCAAAGGTGAATACATTGAAATAAAGAGAGGAAAATACATTAGAGAATAAACATGTGTATTTTGAGAATGTAGCTTGGAAAAGGCGTCCCTGTAGCACGGAATACCTCGAGCCAAGCCTCTGCCAAGCCGATGACTCCGGTCGTAGACCAGGAGCAGCCGATGTGTAAGCGAAGTAGAAGGGACATCCTGGTGAAACTCTGGTCAGGCAGCCGCAAGCATGTGTAACAGCACGTACTATACAAACGCTTACCCTCCCACTGCTTCCGATGCCCGGTCTCATTCCGGCGTGATTCTGAAATAAGGGGGAACTCACGTGAGCAATATCCACCTGTATTGGTGTGTTTTCACACAATTATCAATGAAGTGCTGCTTGCATTCGCTAACAAGCAAATAAAGGAGTGCTCGGTCACTTGTCAATCACTGTATAGATATACTTCTCTCTTCACTTCGCAGTGCCAGTAGCCATCCGAAATTAGCGGCTAAAGCAACAAGAATATAGAGAAAACATATGAAGCCCTGTTGATGTAATTTTCCGAAGAAACTAAACAAATACGGGTTTCACAGGTGAGATGAATATATGTGGTTATATGTGCAGCTGCGTCGTAGAAGATCTTCTTTTAATTATAATATTTGTATTTTTTGCTTCAGTTCTCGTGTTCAATATATACGGTGCCTTAACTTCTTCGACTTTTCAGAAAGCGAGAAAACATTTTGCATACGGCTTCAGATTGATCCATAGATACGTCATGACCACCGCCTAATAATTTAGTATACGTGAACGTTCCAACTTTGAATTCATAACCAAACAGTTCCAGAGATGAGTTGTCATTTCTATACCAAGGTTTTCGCCTCGCTGTTCTCAATGTTTCTTGCCAGCTCCAGGGCAGATCCTTTAAGGACTGTTCAATATTGGCTGCTGGAAAAACTGCGTCCATTTGCGCCGTGTAGAATAGGACCCGGGTGGTTTCGAAGACACGCTTGACTTTTTTTTCTATGTCTTCAAAGAAATTGCCTATTGCTAGCTGCATTGCCACCTCGCGTCTTGCTTTGTCGAGTGCCATATCAGAACCAACGTGAATAATCTTCTTGAACTCATTGCTGCTGGCGTAATCAAAGTACTTTGAACGCGTAGTGGTTGACGAGTTCTTGCAATACTTCCGTGATGATCGAAACCGGTAGGCCCCTGAAAGATAGTTTTCTGACCGACAGGTGGCATGTTAAAAACAGTTTTGAACAGTTCGTCAGCTGCCTTCGCTAATTCTTGTCGCTTTACAGAAGCTCTGATGATCTCAAACCAAGATGCTAAAGTCCTTCTGCCGTACTCGTCTAGAAGACCAGACGTATGAAGAAAATTAGCCGAGTCAACGATGTCCATCAATGGAAACACAAGTCCGACACCAAGCATGAGTCCCTTGAACCGGAGGGGGATATCTGTTTTCTTGTCTATGTAAGTGGCCACTGCAATCGCAGCTCTGGCTGCAAAAAATAACAAAAGCACATCTTTACAAGGAGAAAATATATGCCTTCAGACGCAATCTCTACATCGTGTGACATATATCTTCAGTGTGACACATTTTATGAAATATTCAAATACACAACAAGGGAATGCAGAAACAAATAGTTTTTTGAGTGACTAACGTTATGTGTCTCCAAAATAACTTTTTGGTGTGGACGTTCACAAAAAAACGTTGATCAATTATTATGTTTCACCAAAGGCTTTTAACGCGACTTAGTCATTCGGTTGCTCTTGCGCAGGTAGACATCGATGAAGTCGACACCCCTGATAACGTTAAGGATTGTTGTACAAACTCTCACAAAACACTTACTAGGAACGAAGCTCCACTAAGACGTCACGCTGTCTATCCTGCTTCCACCCATCCGTGCACTATGCATAGCCAAAACACTAGTGCTAAAGCATCTGTGTGCAAAACTGTCTACAGAGCGCGCATGCTCTTTAAAAATCCACCTTCCATCCATTTGTCTGTTCGCCCATCCTTTACACTAGTCCCCGACTTCAACGTCGATATCATGAACCATAGGACCTAGTTTCGCTTTGTCATTAGCATCAACTTGGTGGATGTGCACGGATTTTGTTTTAGATGTGAAGCAGCTCTTTGACTAGTCTGCGTAATGCTGTCCCTCCGTGTCTCCGGACAAACGCGCCGTACCACATTCCCCTGCCGTATTTGTTGGAACAATGACAAGTAGATAAAGTCACAGCTGCGCGTTGACGCCATTCTCTCTATCACCCGCAGAAGCTACCGGATCCTCCCAGCACACCTGGTGTTGTTGCTCCTCCACCCGCTCAAGAGTTAACAGAGTTGCGCCTCAGACAGAACTCGCCGCTCGCGCCACCATTCGCCAAGCACGCTCACGTGCGCAAAAAGCGGCCGTTTAAGGGAAAGCCAACTTCACAGCTGAGCGGGTGCTGGTGACCGCAGCGCCAGTAGCGCCACCACTGCTACCACTACACTGCCAAGCCGTCCGTCCAGCTCACGCATGGTGGTTCGGCTCGCACAGTGCGCATTGTTTGTCGGTGTTGCGGTGGTGTTTCCTACTGTCCGTTTTAGTGAACGTGCTTTCGTGCGGCTAGCGAGCCGTTGACAAAAATAGAACGGGAAAAAACGGCAAAAATATGCGTGAGTGCAATGTGTGAAAGCGGCTTTGTGCGTGAATATGAATCTTACAGATCTATCTAAACTGCATGATTCATTCCGAGGACTATGTGGCATCAAGGTTTGAAGCTTTAACGAGTGTTTAGTTTCTGCCACATCTACCTAGATAAACGAAAAAAAATTCTCTCTAGCTTGCGACAATTGTAAAACACAGAGTGGTCATTTGAGCACTTATTTCGTCGAGCTATTTACAAAAATCTTTTAAAGTGCTGCATAAAAAATTACGTGAAACGAAGGATTATCTGAATTTAATTTGTCCAGAATCGTGTCGGTCGAAGTTTTGTTTTCCAGAGTTCGCGATTAAAAACAAAGATATTACTCGTGTAGTGACTGCCTGTCTATCACGGTTCATTGTCGGTCCGAGCTTTCCGTCTTTTTTTTTTTTTGTAAGCGAGAGTCATTGCGCCAGCAACGGCCCATAGCTAGTATTTTTTTTTTTTTTGCGCGGCTAGGAGGGCGACTTGCTGAAGACTTACCCCCGTATTTTAGAACGTCCCTTTACTCAACGCTTCACCTTCACTTGAGAAAGCCGATGGAAGCGCCATCTCTAGGCACGGCAAGTCACTGCATATTAGCTATAATCTGCTGCGATTCTCAAGTAGCGCAGCGTCATTTTCAGCCGAGCTGTGGCGTTGCACTCAACACTGTCGAGTGAAGGGTGAAAGTCCAGTCGAGGAGCGTTTGTGAATGCGGGGGTTAGAAGTGTGGCAGCTTGGGCTAGTTGGTATGGCATGACGATAGTTATAGCGCTGGAACAAACGACGACACAGAGACAAGAAGGACACGAAAGACACGAGCGCTAACTTCGAACTGAGTTTATTGCGCAGAGCACGAAAATATATAGAGAAGACAGTAACCATGTGATAAAAACCATATGGCTCAAAGAGCAGAACATGAGTGAGAGAAAAACAAAGGCAAAAAAGCACAGAAAACGGCAAAGAAAAATTTATAAGAAAACTAAGCAGAAGAGTAAAGATAGTATAACTACTTGCGCGCACCGAAACCTTCGAGGAACCTGAGTTCCTTCTTGGACAGAGCCACGGAGGACTTGCCAATACAAGGCACCTGTTCGCGTGCCATCTGCGCGGCCTCGACAATGACTTGGGTGCGCTCATCTCTATGCTCGTACAGCATCGCTGTGTCCTTGAAAAGGGGAGCACAATTGAACTCCGTGCAGTGCTGAGCAAAAAAACCATCTTTCCCGTTTCTAAAATTGTTAGCGTGTTCTCTCAGCCGATCGTTCAGACACCTTCCGGTCGTTCCGACATAACAAGCACCACATGAAAGGGGGGGTCCTTCCTATACACAACTTCCCGGGAGCAGGCCGCGTACCTAGCTGTTTCTATGTTGAACTCGGCATTCCGTTGATGACTGAGTTTTCAGGATGTTTGTAGATTTGGTGAGGCTGATAAATTTGAACGGTGCCGAGAACAGGACACGAACTCCAACACGTTTTCCGATTTTCTTGAGCCTGTGTGATATCTGGTGTTTGTATATGGAATCACGGCTATCCTTTCCCGTTCTGTATCCATGTTGCTAGGATTCTGTCGCTGTGTCTGCTCTGCCTTATTTGTCCGCAGGATAGTCTCAGCAACGGAAGCGATAAACGCCTCGGGGAAACCCGAAGCCTTAAGCCGGGAAACTTGAGCTTCGAAGCTCGCAGAGATATTGTGGGTGCACGACCTATTTAAGGCGTTCTCAAGACAGGTTCGTGCTATGGCTCGCCTAACGAACTTGCTGTGAGCGAAAGAAAAAGGAAGTAGAGGTTTCTGCGCACCTGGTTCATAACACCAACAGATGTGCTGTGAGCTAAAAACCAGTCTTAAATCCAAAAATCCTAACTTGTCATTCTCGGGCATTTCATGTGTCAACACAAGAGGCCTTAAACAATCGTCGAACATGCTATTCGTTTGAGTCGCAAACGAGTGGAACATAGAAGAATTACAATTTAGAAGAACCAAGAAATCATCCACGTATCTGAATACTTTGACCACATGCGAGCCTTCTAACTTTTCCTGCAGTTTTTTTGCCAATTTTTTCCAATAAAAGATCGCTGAGTAGAGGTGCTATGCATGAGCCAATTGAAACACCCTGAAGCATCCCTCCGTCACGAAAAGAGGCAGACACAGTGATGCCTGGGTAACGCACAGGTGCGAAATGCAGCATGTCGCATTTCGCACCGGTTGCCATCAGGCCGCGAAGATGGACGCTGGTCGCGCCTGGCGTGAGACTACAGAGTTCTGGCATTTTGCTAACGTATACACCAGAACACTGGGAGCTCAGTGCTTGCTGCTAGACTGCGGAAACAACTTCATCAGGTACGTATTATCCGAGTGAAGAAACGCGAACAGCGTTAACTGCGGCGTGCCTTGGCTGTGACAAGGCATATAATTTGTGCTGTAGGTAAGCCGGCGTCAACGTAGTGCTAGAATCTGGCTCTAACTTACACTCATACACCACATGTGTATGAATTGCCAGTCCATGCCGAGCACTCGGAACACACACGTGGTGCAAAAGTGCCGGCCAGAACAAGATTCTGAAATGTTACGGTGACGCCGGCCGAAAGCACATGTAGATCACATAGTGACAGTCAAGGCATGTCGCAGTTTGACCGAGTCGAAAGCCATGCTTTCCGCACCGTTCACATCTGCTTTTATCGCGATAGTAGGCCGTTTCAGTTGTACTAAACATGCGCGGTGCGTCCATCCACGCGTGAGTCGTAATACGTATATATCCTAGTATTGACATGCGGCCCGCGAAAGAGTAAGGCGATAGTTTTGTGCCGCATACTACAGGCATACTGCACGCAAATCTCTGCTGTAAAGTGGAACAGCTGGAGTCGCGCTTGAATAAGCGCAATAAGTACACTTACTCTTACACTTTACTGGGCTCGCAGTTTTTCCTGCTGATTGCGACTATATCCTATAGGGCGGCCGAGCTCAGCGTTTTTCGTTGTGTACGGCAACCTGTGCAATCGCAAAACACCGCACCGGCACGATTCCCTCGATGCGCTGTGAGCTTCACAGGCAGTGCTCAGCAATCTCTTCTTCTTGCACTGGTTGTTGTCGCATCAGACGACAGCGCAGTATTACCCAGGGGACATTTTATATGCGGGCGCAGCGTGAACAGGCGCCTTTTCGCATTTTAAGTTCCCAGAGCCACTGCATACCATGCTATATAGTGAGGCGCGCCTTGGTAGTTGCAAACAAATTATGACATCTCTGGGAGCGAGGGTATACCCCGGAAGGCACCTAGGTGCGAGATAGGCGTGCTCTCGTCTATAGGAGTTGAAACGCATGGCGCTTCAGAGAGCATAAGAAAATGGTATATAGTAGATAGATATGCCTAGACTTCGTTTTTTTTTTTCGACTCCGTTTGGCTTCGCGTGGCATAAGCCGCTTTGTCACCAGATGACAATCAGCAAATGTTCTGCAGTACCACTTTCACCGCCTAAAACTTTTAATGCTATATTACAAGACACCGTATAACGGCAACGAACAGGCATTCGCAGCAAGAGGAGCTATACTCCCCTGTTCCTGCCATCACTTCGTAGCGTTATTTACACTCACGTTCAAGGTCAACTATGCCGCAGTGATCAAGCTGTTGCTACAAGGAATACTGCTTGGAATGCACCGAAATACACACCGACTGACAACGGGGCGGACGTAGTCACCCAGTGGAAAGAAAGGGACTGCGCCTCGCTAATTGTGTGCAGCGCGTTTCGATGCGCGACTGTTTCGCGCGCCAGGCTAGGCAGGGTCACTGGCCCGCTGCTGACTTACCAATGAGAAAAGCCGAAAG